TATAAACTGCAGCCTATCGCTTACTCAGATCATATAACGTGCTGGTTCTGAATAAAAAAAAATTTCCTGTTAATCTGATCTGAATGGAATTTGAGAAGGCTTTTTTTCTGCAGTTTGAAGGGGAGTTCAAACAAGATTGTTAAAATGTAAGAAAATTTATATGAGTTATGTAATTTGTGATATCTTTTGCGTGGCATAAAATCTATGAGTGCAAGATCATATGTATACATACATTTATTTCTGTGGTGAATATAATAATTTAAGCATTAATAAGCGTAACGTTATAAATCCACTACCTCGTTCAACATATTTAACAAAGAGGACTAGAAACTTTTTTCAGGTTCATATAAGAAGAGAGTCGGTCTCTAAAGTTTTGGCGAATATTTAATACATCTTATTAAAATATAAATGTCATCCTTAAGACCAAAAAAAAGCAAATTAAGCTTACCAAAACTTGCTTACAAAGCATGCTCAAGAGTTTTTAAGAGTATGAGCAGTGATGGAAGTAATATAAGAACCTCATTGGAAGATATATTCTTCCTCCAGCTGCCAGCACTATGTATGTGTCAAGGACTACATACACAGCACAAAAAAAGATAAGCCAAACCACCCAAGGTGTAGGAATAGGTGCAGGAGCAGACCCTTTTTAACACTGCAGCTTAGATCTCAATTCTGAAACCCCACGCAACTGAAGTGTTTAAGAATTTTTTCAAGCCTACAACCTTAGTATGCAAAACGTTTGTCAAATATTCACTCCTTTCCTTAGGACTGTTGACGTTATGCTAGAAGTTGAAAGAATAGTGAAACTATTGTTATTCTAAGCTAGAGAAAATATCAATGAGATGAGCTTGGACATAGATTTGATTTGGCTTTTCAACTTGAAAATGAAATTGAGTCAAAGAGTAGGTAAAGTGACATGGCAAAATTTTGAAAATAAGACAAAATTTTGGTTCCATAATATATTTAAGTCTAGTTAGCTACTTGGATCCTCTTATAATAGAAAATCTTGGTTGATAAGATGAAGTTCACCAAGTATTTGATTAATGTACAGAAAACTCTACTAATGAGACACTGGTTTTACCAAATTTCATCTTATATGTTTAAAGTAACCACAAAAGAGGTCAAAACTGTAACAGAAGAAGGGAACTGCTGAGAAGTTGAACAGTAACTTTAGCACCCCTGTGATGATTCGAAAGACAAATGAGACTTATTGGTTCTGCGTAGATTATTAAGATCCTTGTAAAGTGACAGTCAGTATAATGGTCATCTTATTTTCTATGCTCTTGTGTTAATGAAAAATGCCCGTTGACTTAACTAATACACCAAAATCGTTTCAGAGACTAATGTGTACCCTTTTTAAATGGAAACTTCAGTTCTTTATTTTGAGATACCTAAGCGATCTTATTATAGTTACCATCACTTCCAAAGCACATATTCATTACCTAGTAGTGTTAATGTGGCCTTAGTCGTGGGACTGGTGATCAAAAGAATGAAATTTAAGTCCCAAATATAACTTTTCCAGTCAAATTTTAAGCAATTCCAGAGTACACTGCACCAATCTACATCAAACAATTTTTTTAGTTTTTAGGAATGGCAAGTGTGTAACGTAAGATAAGGTCCAGGAGTAGTAAGACAACTTCAAGGAATTAAATATGGTACCTAAATACCGTAGCTGCTATCTGCACAGAGTTTTTTCTTAGGAACTATGCACCTAAATATTTGATAGTGTTCCATGACATGTTTACCCGTTGAACAATAAATCAGTGGGTACAAAACGTTAAAGGAGTAAGTTCTTTCATTTTGGAAGATGGCTACAAACTTTCTGATAGACAATAGGAAGCAATATAAGACTTAATTTTTGTCTAAATGTTTGTAGTAGTATAGGCTCAAAAATATAACGAACCCACCCTTACCAGGCATATGCAAACCAGATCGAGAAAGATGACTAATTCTTAATGATAACGATTGCGTCGTTCATTGGGTTCTATCGTTAGAACTGGGACTTTCTTTAAAGATTTTGACATGCCTTGAACACAGCCGTTCCAGTCACTATAGTGGTCTCTCCCACGTTTGTCAGTTTTGTGTAGATAGCTGTATATATAAGGAGTTTGCTAAAGCAGATGGTAGGAGTAATACTTGTGCAAATGTGATACCGTAAGATTTGAGATGATCGTATAAGACGTTTTGATGGCTAATATAATTTCTTTTGTAGACATATCAACATCTCCCACGAAAAATAGGAAAAGCAGTATAATGCAGTCAAGTAAGACGTGCAATTTTTCATTGCAGCCTAAGTTCTAACGTAAATTTATGATAATTCAGCAAGAGCCTGCTAATTCTGCCAAAGCAGGGGGTGTAGTGCCAAAGCATTCCGACCACTGTGGCTCAAACACTGAATTAACTGTAGATGCCGAAGAGTTGCCACAAATGCTGATTTGCCATTGCTGTAGTAAGAGATATGCAGAGTATAGTAGCAAGCTGAAGGTTGGGCGTTGTCTCTATAGAAAAGCCAATGGTTTCTGTAAAATTAATGCAAATAAACTCAGCCAAGAATGTCATCCTTAAAATTTCCGTGGTTCCAAAACTGCTAGAAAGAAGACTGTGCCAACATCCCTTAAACACCCTGGAGACAGAAGACAGACCAGATTCAAGCAAGTGCCTGAACCAGAGTTGAATATCTACAAGAATAAAGAATTTTAATGTGAAATGGCAGAGTAGAAAAGACATAAAGAGAAAAATGAGATGGTGAGGGAGAGAGATGGGGAGAGAGTTTCAGAGAGGTCAAGAGAGTATTTAACCTAATAACTTTAGAACTTTTAATTTGCAGGAGATAAAATGAAAATCATAGACAAGGTAGTTAAACTGTTTTCCACACAACTTGGAAGAGCACTTTACCAATTGTAAAATAAGTATTGTAACACAAGTTTTTTTTCTGACATTGATACTTCACTATTCAGGCTAACTTTTACATGACTCTTATCCCCTTTTTTGGAAACTAGGTAATTATATAGAATGATAAAAAATTCTTGCCAAGGTATTTTAATACTTTTTGCAGTACTTTCTTAAGACATTACTACCAAAGACATGAAAAGCAAGTCTTCACTGATGTATGAAATTTGTTTTATTTTATTATGGATGGCAATTAAGAACTTAATTTTACACTAATAAATAAGAAACTTGAAGCTCCTCATCAAACTGAACTTTACTAATCATGGACAGCACCTTTTTGTAACAATAATTATAATAGTTGCAAATCAAAAAACAAATGACTATTTTTTAGGTTATGGTTATTACGTACTAAGGTTTATATAATAGGATCATCAACATGACAACAAATTTGAAGTGCTAAAGATCTCAATACATTCGTTAGTTGCGTGAGATCAAAGGAAGAAGTCAAAATTCTTGAGGCACCCATGGAGAGCCAACTTGTTAACTTTGTCCCCTAGTAGTTGTAATTGCATTATATGTAATAAAATTATTCAAATTAAAACATTTCTCATCATTAAAATTTATCGTATGCAGAAATTCACACAACTATCCACCTAAGATTAGTATTTTGGTCGATATGTCTGAGAATTATTATAATGCATGGCTTAATTTAAAGCCACAAGTAAGATAATATGGTGACACTATGACTATATACATGCATTGTCGGTTATATCAGTTAATTTGCTAGCCAACTGTAATGTACACTTTGTACTTAAGCACAGAGTGGAAAAAATTGAAGTTCTTTAATTTAAAGCTCTGCAGTACTCTGTTACTATGCAAATATATGCCATCGTCATTAGCATAGTAAAAAAATCGCCTCAGATTTAATGTGACATTAATCACTTATACAGCATTAAGGACCTTATTTTACATGGCTTTCGAACCATCGGACGACAGTTTGAAGTACGCACATGAGCAATGTGGCTTGTCAAAGGTGCCAGCCAGGTGAGAAAAGGCTGGGTCCTGAACTCTGAAGCCTGTATTATCCAGATCCCAAGTCACAAGAGCCACAACCTAAGAGACTGTGCTACCGTGGCCGCATACAGATAAGGATACTGTGATTGTATACAGCTTTGTAGCATTAATTATTAAAAAGCTTACTATTTCAACGAAAATATAAAAGTACAATGTGGACCCTTCAAAGAATGAGCCAAAATTAAGCAAGATCAATTGAGAATTCAAAAAAAAAAGAAGAATTGGACGTCAAACAAATAAAAAGTTGTTTCTTTCTTCTTTATATTTCAATAAATCTCTACAAAATCAAGTTTTGTTAGTTCTTAATAGATCGTAATAGATAAAAAATGTGAAAGGAAAATTTTTTTTTTACAAACAATTCGAAAAGAAAATTGATGCATAGGTTGAAGTTTTAAAGAATAAATGCAACTTGATCCCTTAACATGTAAGAGAAAAGTAAAAAGTGAGATTGCACCTTATCAGTTTGACATAAACTTTCTCCAGAAGTTTTAAAATATTATTTACAAAATCAATACGGTTCTTTTACTTTCGTAATCAAATAGCTAGCTCTAATAAAAATAATGCTATACATTGATGTTATCATAGTAACCTTAACTATAAGGTAAGAAATTTAGCAATCTCCAGACTAACTGTAAACCTGACATCTGGTAAGAACTATATGTGCTTATCCCTGCATTAACGACAACATCTTATTGCCACAAAATTTTTGTGTTCTTTTATAAGAAGTTGTACATAATCATTAAGTATATTACATTCATAAAAATACAAAATAACGCATAAAATAGTACGCAATAATAGAATTAAAAATAGTTTTTGGCAATTCAAAAGTTCTTAGACTTGTGAAGATAACAAATCCGATTTTTGAATACCTCAGTTCCAGCTTAAGAAAAGAAAAACTGTAGACAATGTTATTATAAAAGTCAGAACGAAACCTTGAATTGGAAAATGCTTTGATATTTTTTGTGAACACATGAAATTATTGGCGGTCAATAAAGCTGCAACATAAAATGTAAAACTTGTAAAAATATCTTACTTACGCTAAAATTCCAGACATATGAAATATTTCAGCACTAAGATATGCGAGGTAGGCCATAACAAATATTAATATAGGTTCTATGACACGGACTTCGTTAGTAAATCGTGTGACAAATGCAGTCGCAAAGCCCCATACAATACCAATCAGTGTACCGCCAATTGCAACTACAAAAAAAGACGTGAATCCGGATAATACATCAGAGTACGAAATTCTTGTCATCCCCATTTCGCTGTATGTCTCAAACATATGATACAGAACCTGAAATTAAAATGAAGAATGTTATACCGTTTCACAAGAGTTATAATAAATATTGTGAAATTCTTATAACTTAGTTATATTAAGCATTATTTTGTAATGAAACCATTCATGTTCGTTTTAATCTTTACTCATTTGATGAATATCCTATGTATGAACTTGCGACAGCACAAGTAGGGAGTGACAGCATGTATTTCTTAAAACTATTAATCTTATACTTTTTTGGTTGTTATTTCATAAAAGATGACATATTGTTACGGAAACAGAGAAAATATCAAGATTTATTCCTCTAAGATTCAATTGATTTTGTTGGATAAAAATGTGACAATCTATTTCTTCTCTTTCATCAAATTGATCTCATAGAGGTAAAATACGTGTAATGATATCTTGTACTGAGAGTTTGAAGTACAGCAATTTACATTAAAATTTTTACAAATGTACAATGTTGTTATAAAAATACAAATGTGCTTCAAAATACAAACTTCCAAATCTTATTTCTAACAGTTGAATATTTTATTTTGTTTTAAATACAAAATAAGTTACATTTTCGTTGTCATTGTTTTCAGAATAAGTTTTTTGATTTGCTTTAACAAAAATACAGGATTCCCCTTAAATTTTTTAATAAGCGATACAAATTTCATGTTTCAATTAGACACTACTTGGGATAAAATAAAGTTATATACATTGCTCTCAGAAATTACAGAACTACTAGTGTTTGGGCAATTTAAGACGTTATGGAGCGTCTTCTTGTTAATAAATAAAATAATGAAACATTATTGATTAACCTCAAATCCCAGTTTATTTTCAAAACTTTGAACTATGCATCACATAAGCTTATAAGGAGTATGGTTCCATTTATCAGTTATTTTCCATTTATGATAATACAGCCTATGTATCTGAGTGATGATAAGCATTTCTTTTGAGTAACCAATTAATAATTTCGTAAATCTAGACCCATAAAAAACATCATATTTTTTGTTCCGTAATTTTTCAATGCCATTTTTGTTACAAAAATAATTATTAAAGACGCAAAAATTAGACTTTATCCAGTGAACGCTAAAATACTTTCTATTGATAAAGATCTTCGTAACGCTACGAATTTATAAATGGCATTCTCTTTAGTGGGAGAGGACACCAAAGATATATCATTTTATTATTTTTGTTCTATTTTTGGAAATATTTTTTATGATAAGTGATCATAAGTCTAAAATATGAATCAGGGATAGATCACTTCTTTTGACAAGTCCGCACTAAGTGTAAAGATCGTACAGTTGCTTTACCTTGTATATGCATGTATGTATATACATAACATGTAAAGTCCAACTTAGTATACTCCGGAAAATACATAGATCTTTTTGATTAGTGATAAATGAATAGGCCTGTTTTTCCCCAGCATAAATGACCATACTCTGCGCAAAAAAAAAAAATAAAGATTGTAATATAAATGGCATAGTTGTTCAATGTGTATAAACTATATTAAAATGAACAAAAACATGAGTGTATTGAAGTTGGAGTGAAATTTTTATGATTGTAAACAAAAAGTCTGTTAAAAAAAGGTACGAAAGATATTTAAATCATACATTCTTGTAAATATAGAAGCGTACCATTTTTTTAATTAGAATAATTCTTCGCATGTAATTGTACAGTTGTATAGATTTTAAAAGCTCCAATTTTAAATACGTTTGTACTTTATTAATAACAATTTACTTGTGTCTTAAATAGACCCACACACTTCAAACAAATACGTTATTTGTAATTTTTTATGCACATTACAACTTTAAGTAAAGTCTAGATATTTGGACTTGGCACAGTCTGGCTTATTTATCTTGCACTTTTTACAAAAAAGATATTAATTTGGGATTGCGCAACATTTGTGTATACTTATACACGAGCGCTTACGTCGCGTGGACAGCCCTATTAGAAATCAGTTGGGTTACTAATATCTAATACTCGCTTCCTTCAGAAGATGGTCTATCAATCAAAAATTATTAATAAAGTTTAGTTATTGATCACCAATACTTACGAGTCCACGGGTACAGCTTATAGCTAAACAATACTTAATAGATAAATGAAAACTCGAACGTTCATTTTTTTTACACTTTTGTACTGTGTCACATAGTTGTAAAGCAATTTACAGTTATCTTATATAGTTTATTTTTATTTTACCTAAGAATATTTGGAATCCAAATAGTTTTTAGCATAAACTAGATAAAAAAAGCCTAACTTAGATGTATCTATGTTATTTTTAACGGCAAAATGTGAGTTAAGCTTTTTTTCGTTCAGACAGTCGATATGTAGTGAGAGTTAAATTAAAGACGACCTCATCAGTAAAAATCGTCATTTATATGTTTTCTTTGGTAGGCATGATAATAATTTTTTTTTTTTTTTCGATAATATTCTGTTTTTATTACAAATATGAATATGTTGCGTGAGGGATATAGTCCACGTTGTTGACTACGTGCAGGAAGCTAGACAAGATATGCGTGAGGACTCTCAGCGTAGACGTGAAGTTGGTCCTGTGCAGAGAAATAGTGTAAATAACGGCGGGGAATTATCTGCGAGTCAGCTATAAAAGGCGCCAACGCACAAGGGAAGGAATATTTTTCAGCAAGACTTGGATGCAGAGACCTACTGCCTAGCCAGACCAGGAACTCTCATGTGCACTGGTAGAAACCACGGCGAGCACACGCCAAGAGGAAGAGGGTCAAGAACAAAGGTCAGCACTGATAAAATTAGTGTAATAATACAAATAGTGTATCACTGCTACCAACTGGTACCTGCTTGGAACTTCGGTGCTCGACCGCTTAAAGCGTGGTGACTACACACTCCCAAATAGTCGAGGCACTATGGGTAGTGATGACGCTCCTCGGGCAAAGTACGTAGGTCGATCACTTCAGCCACGCTCAAGACACCTAAGGGCCCCGAGGACAATCTATTTCCACGTGATTTATTTAATAAGTATGGGTCCAGTACTAAAAGTCCTTGAATATGCTAATAATTCACCATAGGCTCATCCGTTGTCAGTAGAAACAAATTTGTGTGGGCACATTTAAATTTACTGCTACATGGTTTGATAAACATAAAAATTTAAGATATTATTTTGATTTATAGCTAAGAGTAAGATTCAAATTAACGAAACAAAGTTTTACGAAAGAAAATAATTAATTGTACTTAACTATTTATATCTATCCCTCTACAAGCGATGGTGAGTCATAAGATTCCTTAAATCTATTTGAAAACTTAAAAGTAAAATAATTTGTCATTTTATTAAGTTAGTATTTATTTCAAATTAAATATCAAATTGATAAGAAAATTTTTTTACTTCAGGCTAAAATCAGCCACAAAATTCATTTAACAACTCTTAGCGCAGCCATAAGCGATCGACTGATTATATTCATAAAAGCTTTGAAAACTTACATTGAAATAAATTCCGTAGGAGCCAACACGATTGAACTGGTGTTATCACAAGCATTCAAATGCCCTGCCTTTGATTGGTTTGAACACATGAAAGAAAGAATAAATTTAATTACTGCACTTGAGACTCTTAAACAAATATTGGAATTCAACGGTAAAGCTAGAGCTCAGTGGGCACTTGAATGAAATGCATACAAAGCAGCAAACAATATGAGTTGCAGTTAATATGTTTCAAATTTATAAATCAACATAAAATTTTAGAAACTTAGGGGGCTCAGATAAATTTAATTGAAGAAACTACAAATCAGAAAAACAAATAGGCGTTGGATCTAAGACCCCAAAAGCTTCTGAAACTGATATCTTATGAGGTACAACGATAGAAGAGGGCATTGCGAAAGCTGATGGAGTAAAAAATCATCAAAACAATTGTATAAATACCCAAGAGAAATTTCCAGTAAGGAGACAAGAATACTTGATGCTCTTCATACACCCAGCAGTGCTAGTATTTGATAACTCGAGTAAAAAAAAAGCAACTGGATGCGAGGAATCAGATACCATAACAAACCCATGCATTTTTAACTATCCGAGTTACAAAAAAAATTAAAGTAAAAAATTTTTTTTCATTGTCAAACCAGAAATAAATACGGTATTCAAAGAATTGAAACAGACACTGCTAGAAGAACTGCATAACGGAAATATTTTAATCAATAAAACATTTGTATACCAGGACATAGATATTGTCATAAAAGGGGTCAAACTAAAGGTCTTACTAGATACGGGGAGTAAACTGACATGTATATCTAAATATATTTATGAGAAACACAATGATGCATGAGAAAATTTCCCTACTCTTCCGATAATGGGATTTAAATGCTATGTTATTGGAAAAAAATCACTCATGGTAGAAAAACACAATTTAAGACCAAAGTAAAAATAGATAGTAGTAACTTTCAAATCAACTTCCTTATAATACCTAAACTTATTCGTGATTGTATACTTGGGATTAATTAAAATAAAAAAACTAGAGTAAATATTTACTTAGACCAACATAAAATTATTTTCCCCCATGAACACAAATATCAAATTATTTAACTTTACACAGAAAAAAAAAATTCTGATGCAATAGAATTTATTCAAAACATTGAATACAAGTTAAGGCTTAGTAATTTCAATGATGGGATTCCTGTCACAGATCTACAAATATCCGACAACAAGATATCTGAGAAATAACAAAAGCTCAAAAATATTAATAGTATACAAAGGGACCAACTTAAAGATTTAATGAAAAATTATCGACATACTTTTCGTAAAAAACTAGGACAATTAGATCGTATACAAATAAGTTAAAGATAACAAATAACGAACCTTGTATTTAATACTTATACTGTACATTCACTAAACAAAAAGAAAAAGTGGATAATAAAATTGCAAAAATAAGCATTACGACAGCATCTACGTAAGTAAGCCCATTAACTACAGTTTTTAAATCTGACCAGTCGGTCTAAATTTTCCTAGACGTGCGAAAATAAAGTGAACGTGTAGTAAGTCATCATGACAGAGATGAGGGGATGGATGAGGTTTTAAGAAAA